ATATACACTTACAATTTCGGTCTATGCATATAGACCTTAAATATACTGGCTTATACTGCGAACAGACATTAATATCTCAATAGATTAAAAAACTGAACATTCTTATTTTGTCGCTGTCGTTTGGCTATACAAAGAAACTGAAGAGGTTAAAATAATAGGCCTTGGTGACAACGGTTATGTATACATTACACAATTCAGGGGCATAACCGAAACCAACCGTACTTAATTTCAGGTTCAAACAGTATATAGTAATGTCTGTCCTTGTCTTTGTAACACGCAATAACACCAGGAATGTAAGCTTAGCCAGGCTGATCGGGTCAACGGACCTGAACAGGTTCTGCAAAAAGTACCCATTTTACGATTGAAAAATCGTTTTGACGAACACTTGTATTCGGTCTTTCATATTCAGTCCAGTACAATGACATGAAGCATAAAACAGTCATGTTTGTGCAATCTTTATTTGATTCTCGGGGTAGGGGGCTATTTACTTAGTTCCCTTCGCGTTCCCTCCTTTCATGTATGCTGGCGCCAGCGTGTTGAGGACGTTGGGTGCGACGCGCAGGGAAGGAGAGGGAGATGGTTGGCCGTTTGAGGCCGTTTGAGACGCTCGGCGTGCGTTTGACTACTCTCTGTGTCTTCGTGGTACATGGTTTTGGATGGCGTCAGGTTCGTTGGTGTAGTCGGCCAAGGGAGGCAAACCGCTTGTAACCCCTCCCCGTCCCAAAGACCAGATAGACACGCATCACTTCTGAATTTAATTGCACAGACTTTACGATGAACAGTTGCACAGTTGTTCAGGACAGAGTCTGCTTTAGCTTAATTAGGCAGACAAAGATTTCTGACAAAGAAAACGGAGACTGAGTCAACTAATCCAGATGCAGCCTCCGGTTTTGTAACTTTCGATGATCAAACTAAGCCATTTCTGGTTTATTAGGCGTGGTCAATTAGACATACCCAACCCCAGGTTCTGCACTATCCGAGGATCGAACACTCGCTTGGTTGGTTAGAATTTCAGAACCCTTACCATTGGGCTATGGGCTCGTTGTCCTGTTTAATGAGACTGGACACATCAAAAATGGTAAAGGCATGTTTACCAGTTGCGTTATGGAATAAACTCGCCCCGTCTTGCCTCAGAGCTCACTCTGGTGAACTGTCAACAACCGCACCTATAAGAAACAAAACGCCACTAAGAATGCGTACAAGAGAGGCCGAAATGACCGTCTCTGGCTTATAAGTCGTAATCGATCAGCCATACCCAACTGCAGATTTGGAGGCATGTAAGGGTGGAACTGGCATTTTTGAAGTTTTAACTAATAAGACACGGGCTTACCGTTCTAACGGTTGCAATTGGACAATTAACTAAACGCTTCGCTGCTGCCTGCGGGACTCTAGATGTAGCCCCGAAGCACAAAGGGACGAGTCTGAACCATATAAATTAACTAAACAATTATTTGATTTCATCCAACAGGAGAGAAAGATCCTGCCTCGATACTCTACGTGTTATGCTGCTACCAAAAAGGTAGAGTATTCCAACAGTAAGTAAGGATCTTATGACAAAATGGTCAGCTTAAAAAGAAGCAACGAAAAAGAAAGCTTACTTAAAAGTTTGCAGCCGTACATAACTGAAATATCTTGGGATTTTACTGCATTTTATTAACTAATACCAACCTTTTCTCGGAAGCGTCTTACCAAAAATAAACGATTCGAGCTTGGTAAACTTTTCAAGGTTTTCGATAGGTATGTGTTCGCTTTCAGCACGAAGCTCTTGTCAAAGGGACGGCTTTGAAATG